CTTTGTCGTTCTCTAACATCCTGCACAATATTCCCTTTAAACAATAAATTAATTTCATCCAAAAAAATAGTCTCAGTCACAAAGGCGAATACAACAAGGTTTTTCAAAAAGTTAAGGATATCGAAACTAATATTCAAAAGACTATTCGGAAAAAGTAAAAGATATGAAAGAAGTAATGGCTCAAGTTAAAAGAAAAAATGAAGAAATTACAGCCGGAATGGATGATAAATTAGATTTTTTTACTGGAACATGCATTGCGATTGACGGTAAGCAAGAGGTTTTTTTGAATAGACTAAAATAGTACCTTCGTTTGTTGGCAAAAAAAATAGCACGCTACATTGAAGAAGCAAAAGCACTTGATTGGTGAAGATTAAAAGATTACAAAGATAGATTAGAGAAATTGGAAAAAATGAACAAGGAAGCAAATCAGTTGGCGGCCGATTACAAAGCGGTTAAATTGCGAGGAGATGAGGAAGAAGCAAGCCGATTACTAGGTCTCTTATTGCCAAGCAAGCAGAAATTAGTAGTTTAGAAGAAGAGTTGAAAAAGGATCCATTAAATATACTTTTCGGAGATGAAACTAAAGATTTTTTTGCTAACATTAGCAAGAATGTTTTCCGGAACAATACTGATTTTTTAAACTTTAAAAAAGAGAAAGTGAAAGATAAGGAGCAAGGTCATTTTCTCGGCTTTGTTCCTAGCAAATATATTGGAAAATTAAAGTGGGGGGCAGTAATTTTCGTGGTTTTGCCACTGTTGTGATTAATTGTTCGATGAATCAGGAAAAAGGTTAGTTAATTTTACAGACTTTTTGTTTTGCTAAAATATTTATATATGACACGGACAAGAAAATATTACTCCATAGAGAGAGAAAGACAAAATTTAGTTTCTAATCCTCTTAAAAATAATCCCTTTAGGGGATATTTTGTCTTAAAAAAGTTACTTGCTTTTAATAAGAAGGAGAATATCTTGGCTTTTTTAGGCTCAGTAGATTCAGGAAATAACTTCTAGTGAAAAAATTGCTAACAAAACTTTAAAGTAAATATAACTCAAATAAAGTAAAGTAAATAAAATGGTAAACATACAAAAATATTTAACTAATCAAAAAATAGCAAATTTAGCAAATTTATTTTTACTTGCATGAATAAGGGTTAATGAAGTAGAATCTGGTCAGGCTTTTAATAATTGTTAACTCATCAGGATAATACTAACTTTTCTTATGATTTATTGCTTAAATTCCCTTTTGAAACTGATGCTAATATAACGAATGGTGGAATATCACATCTTTGTTGTAATAATTCGCTATGCTATGCTTCTTCATCGAAAAATTGTAGTTCTTCTGAGAAAGGTTTTCTTTGTCTAAAAATTAATTCGACAATATACGGATTATCTTATGGAGGGAAGTGCGGAGGAACTATAGGTAATGCTCTCATTGCCACCAATAGCACAATAGGAGGGCGATGCATAACGAAAAATGTTTCTCTTTCTTCTATCGCCGATTACATAGCAACTGAACCTACTAACAATTTTTTTGGTTTAGATGTAGGATATGCTTATTACGATTGTATAGGTACGGCGAGTAATGTTCCATGTAATCCCGACTTTAAATATTGCAACTGAGACAATGGCGGCTGAACTTGTTATCATACTAATTTTGTTAACATCAGTGATGCTTGTTTCTTGCAATGAAATGCTTCTTGACCAGGTATTGCTTCTCTTAACCCCCTTACAACCAATAGTTCGATTAACGGTTCCTCCATTCCCCCTTCCGAGTCAACCTCTCCTAATAGTTCTGGAATACCTATCCAAACCTGAATTGAAATTGGAGCTGGTGGAGTTGCTGGAATTGTTGTCATTAGCGGAGTAGTTTACTGTTATAGAAAAAAGATAGGAAAATGAGTGAAAATAAAATTTTTAACTTCTCAAAATGACAGGCGGATAGATATTAGAGAAATTTTAAAAAGAATGAGTTTCACTGATGAAAAGCCTATCTTAGGAAAAATCATAGGCAGAGGAGGATACGGCGAAGTCTATAAAGGCAAATGAGTAAATCAAGACGTAGCAGTTAAAAAATTATATTTATCACCTAATAA